AAATATTTTTTTATGAATTGTACGATCAGTCGGTTGAAATAATTACAAAGTGTAGTATCTTTCTTTGTACTTCAAAGATAATCTTTGCCTTTTACTCCATCTACGAAAGAATGTTCGTACCAACACACTTTTAAGCCAGCTTCCTTATTATAGATTGTCTTATATAATTAAGACGGTAACAAAACATCCCAAATTAAATATTCATATCCCGGTAATTTATCGTGGTCATTGAAAAAATACGACGGATCAAATATGGATTAGTCAGTTAAAGATAAATACAGAAAAGAAAACACAATAAATTTGAAAATATGGAAGCAAACTACAAACCGAAAAATCGTCTGTAATGTTGTGATTATTCAATGATATTATATACATAATTTATAATATTACATAAACATCATTGGTGATTATTAATCAGACATAATACAGTTGACCAAAAGAAAAAATATACTTTTCAAATACTTAGAGGTGACGTCCATTTGACGTTATATAATGTAATATATTATATATAGGAATACAATATTATATATATGATATTTTTTCACATTTGAGGTGTTAGTTTAATTGATTGAAAATATTTGAGTGCTCACGAAGTTTATTTTCTTTTATAAGCAAGTAGTGGAGCGAGGCGACAAGGCAAATGTATTTCCATTACCAGAGCCCTGGCGGGCCATGCCAGAACAAATATGATCTTACCTTATTCCAAGCAGTATAACAATGGACACTAACGCCATTCTACAACTGTACTTTTACACGCCATATTCTTATTGACAACTTAACTAATAGTAAACATTTCCAACTTGTTTACGACTAGAACATTCTAATTGAATAAAATAATAATCCCAATTGATAATTGTATTTTATTATACAATAAAGTATTTTTACTTGTATGTGTGTTTAACTCAAACAATCTGTAGGTGAATTGTTGTGATTTACTGACATCTAAAATATTTTCTTTGTTTTAGCATAAAATTCCGGTAAAATATACAGCATGCGCACTACAACTACAGATATTTGATTGACACCAAAGATTCCACATTATCCACTGTAATGTTGATTCAGCAATCGACTTTGGAGTTATAACATAAAACTTAATTTTAATGTTATATGAAGAGTATACCGTTTCTTTTGGAAAGCAGAAATTCCCTTGAGTATGGACCAGTTTTTTATTACTATAAACTCAAAGTTAACGAATGAAAAGAAATTAAGGTTCTCAAAACCACTATCTCAACAGTAGCTTTATCTCTGACTACCAGCAAGTTTGTACAAAACAAAGATACAAGGAATTTTGATTAGTCAATAAAATTAATGAGTTCCATTATGCAATTGGTATCGCCGAAAGATTTTACAAATGCATTCCCATAAAAAGATTTAAAAATGTCACCTCTCGACCAAAATACCCTCCAAAACCGAAGCATTCTTAAGCATACTTGGGCAAATTTGCATAAATTTTTATTTTCTCTTTCCATCAAAGAAGTGTAGATAATAATTATAATGCCGTAACTAATTAGGATTCCGCACCCAAAGGGTAAAACGCAACCCTAATACTATGACTCCACTGTCTGTTGGTCATTGTAATTTTTTTTCTTTACGTATCTAATACAAATTTCATATATTTGCTTACATAATGCTTAAGTTCAGTCCCAATAGAAATGGATGGTGTCGGTAGGCGAATTAAATAAAATAAATGAATGAGCAATTTACCATTTCAAATATATTAGATGTTTTTACGGTGTAACAAAGACGAGTTGAAAGAAAGACTGCGCGTCATGTTTATTTGCCGGCCGCCTCACTTGGAATAGGTTCCGAGAATTTTTGTAGCAGGACCGCAATCGCAGAATACCAAACACATAACGCGTTCGTCCTTCCGCCGCTACTTGATAGCAATAAAGAATAGCGCTCATAGATTCTCCACGGAGTACGTCCGATGTCGACATTCTACGTTCTCCACGTCAAAGTTTATGGAGTCAGCGCGAATTGTACTCACGGTTTAGAATTATTATTAAGTTTTTGTGCTGCGTAAGATATCCCTGTTTCATTTCAATCTCTAACATATTAGCTACATGAGACTTCTTTCACTAAACATATATATGTACAAACAATGATTTTCTGTTGGTAGAATATTTCAATTGTTGTAAACATTTCTAACAAAATGTAAACATTTTGTTAGAAGCTCAACAATATATCGCGACAGATTATGAGCTCAGACAGAATCGTTTGATAAAGGAGGGATCTTTATCAATTCGTATGTACGTAATTCCAATTCTTCGGCAACGTATAAATTTAAGTATGTGTTAAAGTTATTATTATATATTCATATGCGGTAAGGTAATAATTGGATCTAACAAGATTTCTCACCACGCTCCGGGTTGACTGGGAGAGAATACCAAAATGCGTTAAATTCGCCCTTTGTAATCCTTGTAATGTAATTACAATTAAAAATAAATAAATAAGTATATTAAATAAATTTTGGAACACTGAGAGCTCTTTGTGGGTCGAAAAAACGGTTCTTTCTTTCATTCCGTTCAAACAATTGCATAAACATCGGACGCCACACACAGGCTCAAAACGCAAGTGACAAGCAGTCGCCTTAACAATGCAGTCACGCAGTTTTATGTCCACGGGTGCTAGTTGCTATGTCGATCACATACTGTTTAAATTAGACATTCCTTAGAACGCATATAAATAATTAGTGCCTGCATAAGAAAATTTACAAAATAATGTAGAAATTAAAATCATTGTTGCCAAATATCAATTTTCCCAAATTTAGGACCTTTTTTACGATTTATTTTTTCTAACGTCTTGCTTATTTTATTTATGGCAATAAGTCCTCGTAAAATTATTCTCCCCTCTTTTGTCTTAAATACCTGTAATCCAACAAGTTTTAAGAAACCAATAGGATCACAATAGGAAGCAGAACCTATTATACCATTATGCCTTTTCTTATCTTATCTCGCATAACTCCCGTAATAAGATTGTAATTCATTTGATTGAATAATTAGTAGTAATGTTTACTTGTATTTTTAAGTAAGTTTCAACAAATATATCTGATATAGATGCAAATTGTTTCAAATTTATGATGACTCTTTTTATTAATAACGCTTTATTTTTCAAATGAAGCTTGAGGTTGGTTTCCATAACATTAAATGCTTCATTGTATGCAAAAAATCCAAGCGTGCAATTCTTATTAGGGGCTAACATTACAGATAAAGTCGTGAACGATTAAAGGATCACGCCTTGTATAATAGCAGTTTAACGTAATTAAAGAAAAGTAAGTGTAAATAATAGCTAGTAGAAAAACTAAGAAAAAATTCACAATTCCTAAAATATGTTTATTACGATGTAAATTAAAAGTCTTTATTGACACCATGAATGCTGTTTTCTCCATTTCCAAGTTAGAAAGTTACCTTAATGTAGATTTCCTTAAGAAGGATAAGAATCTTTTCGAAATTTCTTACAAGAAACACCCCCTGTGCCTTCCTGGCCTAGTTACGAGCCAACCCTCGCATTCGATCGAATAAATGGCGCGCTAAGAATTTATGAATCCGACATTCCGTCTATTTGTCTTGAATTTGGGTCAGACTCAAGATATATACCAATAGTAGAGTACCTTCAAAAGCATGTAGTACAAAGCTTTGGGCACAAACATAATTTTTCTTAAGACCCGTAATTATAGTTTGAACACGTCGTGCTTATGCAGGGATCGCACTCTATAACCGCTGTGTCAATATTGAGCGTGGCTGTACTATAACTGTTGTTCAAACAACTAAATAATGACCCAACCTAATTTAAACGCGTACACGTGGAACCGACGACGCTTGTTTATATACGTATTTAGGTAACATTCACATTTAGATTCCTTAAACAAAGTCTAATTGTTGAAAAGGAATTCGTTTAATAGATGAATGAAGACCAGAGAATTGACCAATATTTATCTACTTAATAATTCGTATCGTATTTTGACTTCGTGATAGCAATGCTTTAAATGAAGTGGTAAACTCCTAAAAGTTCATAATAATTTCTTTAAAGAATATTTTTCTAACAACAGTGCAATAAAATTATTATATTATACAACAGAATTACATGTGCATACACTCCGATTCTATGATTATTTTCCTTTATTGTTATCACAGAGACTAGGTTACTGGGAAACATTGACACCGAATCATATAATTAATTACAAAGTGTACAATATTTGCCTATAATAGTATTGGTATTTTAATGTTATTTCTTATTATTAGTTATTTCGTACACTTAGGCATCCGTGATTCATGTGGTAGGTTCACGGTTCAAAAAAAAGGTTTACGTAGTCAACGTTATCTCTAGAAACATAGAATTATGTAATGATATTATTAAAGGGTTTACGCATATCAGTCATAGTATTTATTATCGCATGGGCACACAAAGAAGTGGCTATCGAAAACAGCCCTAAATTAAAACGATCGAAGCCACTGCTGTAATCTCAAACGCTGATAAATAAACGGACTAGGGACATCTGGCGCCGAGTTCCGTTTCAAGTGCCATACCCGACGCAGATAAAAAATTTAAACATTCGACTTCTATTGGTTCAATGTTTTGCTTTCATTATTCTGGCTTTAAAAAGATTTATCACGTGCCCTGAATGAGCACGCAGAAAGTCTACTTTTCCTAGAGTTTGCACATATGATTATTTTGTTTCGGATTTCTGTTTAAAATAGATCAATTTAAAATATTTATATATTTTATCAAGACACACGCCGTTATTTTTGTATTAATTCGTGAAATAAAAACTACTATTCAATTTCGATGACCCTGTGGCGCAGTAGCCAAGATATTGGCTTCGGCGTCGGGTGTTATGGGTTCGATTCCCACACGGGACAACTATGCGACCCACAGATTAGTTGTTTCGCATCTGGGTGTTTGTCCACGTAGGATAATATGATCCTAAAGTAAAGGCAATGAAAAAAAAAATCTAAGATTATTTTTGCTGCGATTGAGTTAAGTAACTAGAAGCGTTGTCATTTGAGGAGCGGAAACAAGCTGCAGCCTACGTTCGTTAGCATTGCTATAGACGTGGGTTTAACCCAGTTTATCACAAAGAATCGCCTCCAATTAGGAAGTGCGAGGGTGAGATGCGACCGTCCGAGTTCACCGTTCGCGCACTGGCGCCCCGCCAATCCGCTGCCATCTATTATCTCAACAGTTCCCCCCCCAGGCACCTTCCCTAAGTGCCGCAGCACGAAATTATGTTTCTCGACGAAAATGCCAAAGCCGCCCGCATGTTTACAACATATCGAACGCGCAACTGCAAAAGACAATCGTATCGAAATAATAGGAACAACTCGTGAAATCACGTTCAACGAGCTCATGTTCAAGGCTGTGGATTTCGCATAATTATTCTGTAGGAAAAATATAAAAAAACATAATAAAATGTTGTGATTATTGTTTTTTGTTCTCATACATCTATGAGTACAATAAACACATTTTAAACGGCGGACGAATCTGTAATAATCATTCAGAAACTTTTCGGCTACTGCATAATGATTACAACAAATAACAAATGAAAGATGTAACATGTGTCTTTTCCGTTCTGTAATTGGGCTTCGAAACAAAAACGCAAACGATTTAAAAAAACGCGGGGACATAAATATCGGCTCGGTATTCGTTTAAAGACGGCAAATTAAATATAATACATCGGCCGGGAGTCGATGAAAGCGTAATCGTAACCGGAGCTGCCCTGCCGCCGATTAACGCAATTGAGCGGCCGCCTTGGACTCCCTTCACTGCGACTGTTCAGTGCGAGAAAGGTGATATTTAAAACTGGCCTTATACGACTCCGGCGTACGTATGTTACCCTAATAACGATGTTCGAAGGCGAAAAGTTCAAGAGTATTCGTATTTATCTCGTCAATGTCGTTTGTAATATAATTGCAAACTTTTACGTTGCTTAATTCATTCCTCTATCGTCATAGAAGAAGGATGAAAAGCTTATCTCTAATTAAAGATTAATAAATCTCAAATAATTATCCACGGAGCACTGTTTTTATAAGGAACTGGTGCTAAGCCCCACCTACCTTTAAGTGGCGATTTTCTTGCTAACACTCTTCCCTTGAATATTCATAGGGGATCATAAGATTATGCGCTCTAATATTGTGATCATTTTACTAGTAAATTGGTTCACGTTGATAAATGAAATAGAAATTATGTAGACTCTTTATAAAACAAATTAGTAAGCAAAAAAACTGTAACCAAATTAATGTACCTTACGCTGGAGTTGCTAGTTTTAATTTTTACGTTATCTCAATTGTTTACGAAACGAAAGTATACACTGAGGACATTGCCCCGTCGAGGTTTAGGTTGCATCTAGCGTAGTGTAATCTTATCAAGAATTTTTAAAATCCTTTTACTCGGCAGGTTGACGATCTGTAAATAAGAAGCGGACAATTAAGGTTGCATTTTCCTTGAAGCACAGTGCCAATATCTTACTACGTAACACGAACTCCCGGCTTATTACTGCAGATGACTTGCCGCTTTATTGGTTTCCATTGGTGTGCAATGTTCAAGTTAATACGATCCCACAGAATGTGCATGTTAATGGCTAGTAAGCAAATCTCGCCGTTAGTTTATTACCGCGTTTGTTATCGGAGCTGTTCTCTTTTTGTTGCAATTTTAAATGACATTGATTCTAACACGATGCAATAATGAAAGCACAGCTGGAGATTTTTAAGATATTTTACATCACTGTTTATGATTGAAAGGATATATGACAATTATTGTATCGACATCAACATATTATTCGAATAAGTAATAAAATGGCATTCATTTAAACCTCTTTAACCGTAGTTGTGTTCCAGACAGACATGGTATGAGATAAATAGACTTAATGTCTAAGAGTTCAAGTCTTAAGCTTAAGACGATAGACGTCAGGCGTGCGCTCAGTCTAGCGTGGTCCTAATCCTGAACAATTTCCCACCACAGCCCTGTTAAAAAGGAAGTCACGACCCTAAGTTCGTTGCTCTACGCGCTTCAATAACCTCAATGAGAGTAAGTTTGTTCTTCGAAGATCAGGACTAAAATCAGTTATATTATACGTATTAGGTCACTGACATCTTCGGCCCTCATTTAATAGTAAAAAATTAGGACACACATCTTTTCATGGAAGTCTACATAAATTGTGTTATTGTATACATTATAACTAACATTAGATTCATAAGAAAGAAATTTGAAGACAGGCTACTATTAGTGTTTTTTGTAAATACTCTCAAGTTAAACTTGTTCATCATACATAAGAGTATCTCACAAAATTAGATACCTCACATAAAGAAAATCTAATATTATCCGTGTAACATAGAGAATGATATATTTTGCCTTCTTAAATGGCTTGCAGGAATATATCAGGTATAAATCTTTTTCTTTTTAATCGTTTACGTTCCCAGTTGATGGTTTATTAATATCCATAAGTACTTTGCAGTCGCATTAAAGCCTCATTTACCGAGTCACGCAGTAGGCACCCAGCGGGGTGCCATAGCCATTTCTATCTTTGCTAATACGACATTGTCTCAGCAACAGATAAAAATACAATTAACAAACTTTAAAAATACTTTTATCTCAATCCAATTAGTGATGCATAATCTCATATTTCGACAAGAGACGTATTCTATCAAAATATAATTATTCACATGTAAATAAAAAAATGAATTGTTATTCCGTTAGCACTGACATCGTAAATTAAAACAAATTGTTAATTTTCATTGCTTTTGTGGCACACAAAACGTAATGTTAATTTTTATTGCACAACATTAACGGTCTCAATATCGAAAATCGTAAAACTCGTGCGAACGACCCTTAATGATGGTTTTAAAATTTCGAACACACATTGGAGCGTTTTTTTAAATGTGGTCGTTAATTAATGGTAAGATTTATCGTTTGTCACCATAAGAGATTCTTAAAAAATTTCGCCAAAGTGAAAGTAAACTTTTGATTACAATAGCTTTCCACGTATTGAAAACGAGCAAGATACTCATCGAACTTTTCCTAGTCATCATAACATAGCATTTTTATTTAAAACCCATTTTTTGTGTTGCGTAACGAATACAATATTTATAATGTCTATTCGTAGCTACTGACAGACTATTTATAAACTCTTTTTGGCATCACAACTTGTATAAAGTTCTCACGTAACAATTTTACATTTCACGCAACGCAAAATGTAAAAACAATTTTATATCCCAATTAATATTGAGTTTGAATAAAAAAAACTGAAAATTTCTCTATGTAGTACTAAAATGCGATATAATCAAATACAGATAATCGATTATGATGCAAATCGGGTTTGAACCAATTACATAATCCCATAGAATTAAAGATATTGCTTGACTACCTTTTATATTTTATGGGCTGGCTTTGTAACGAGATACTGGAACTATAAGTAGCAATGCCACTGCAGCATCAAGTGGGACTTTTTTGTTCATCCCTATAAACCAACCTGAGTAACGCACGTACGTAGATAGGAACACCATTTGTAGAAGGGTTTAAAAAACTTCTTCAATAAGCATTTAAAGTTCGCTGCATGCCTAGGGCTAGAGGAATGTAAGTCCTAACATTTAAAAGCGACGCAATATTTTAAAATGTACACATCGGAACAGTCGCTTAGCGTCTATTGTTGGTACATTAATTCCGTCCAAGTATTTTTATTGTGTCAAATTGTGGTGTATTTTCATACGAAACACAATGCTGCATTGTTACGTCTTCTGGCGCTTCTATGTTTTTCTAGTTGTACAAAAAATAGTTATAATTGTTAAACTTTTTGTAATTCGGAATAGCCATTTAGTTCAAGGTAGAGTTATCAATTCATTAGTATGGGGCTTCATAGTCACTACTTCATAGACACACAGATAAAAGTGTACTTAATCAGAGCAATATTCTTAAGATTAATTCACTGAAGTGTATACAATATAGAAGTAAAATTGTAATAGCTAATATTAAATTGTCCCCGAGCGTGGTATTTGAAACCTTTATTACGTACTAGTGTAGTGGTCAGCTCACAACCACGTCGCTACTCTGGAGCTAAACCTGTACCCATTAGCGAGTTCCTAGCCGCAAAAACAACAGGGAACGAATCGGGAATGCGTCCTGGATCGGTCTATAGCGTATAGTGATGTATTACTAGATTTTATTTTCTACTCCCATTATAGATAATTATATTAAGACATATTTACTGTGATGCGTTCCCTTTTTTGTACTGTAACGTTAAAGCTTTAACTAAATTATGTATCTTACTTCTTTTTTCATGTGAAAAGTTGCCAAGTGATCACAGGGTTCATCTGATGTTAAGTGAATAACGCCGCCCATGGACATCTGCTACACCCGAGGGTTCCAGATGCGTTGACAATATTTACAATTGTATACAGGAGAAGAAATTGATGATAGGAAGTGTAAGTAAATGATGGATAATAATTTATGCGTTAGCGACAAATCAGTAATCCAGGACATCATTTACGATGTAAAGCCGATCGGGCAAGTCGGTTCCATAGTTTAATTACAAGTTCTTGGACGTAGCCAACACTTTGTTATATCTATAAAGGCATAGAAAACTTATCGATGCCATAGAATCATCGAATGAATAACCCCCAACACATAATAAATCGTCACACATGTACTTTATACATACCTTATATGTGATTACTAGTCTTGTATGCAAATCAAACGTTCAGAATGGTAAGTAATGATGACGTGTATCTCATGCTACAAACATTTTTTATACTCACCCGAGCACTTTACACTCAATACATTCAGTAAGGAATTAAATATATTATAAAATGAAACCTTGTTCTTTTTATTCGGTTTTTATATCGAAACACGTTATCGAATGCGTAGCATTTAAAGGTAATCGCAAACGCACAGTAAAGTCATAAAGTTTATACTTCTAAACTCTACATTTTCATCCATTATGTCTACACAATCGTAGATCTTTGCCCAATGGGCTTTTATCACATTAAAGAGTACGTTTCCCTTAACTGGCTTCCACATATATGGCAATACAAGCTGCTTGCACATTTTATTTCTTACTTTCCAACATCGTATTAAACTATATAATACTGTTGTTTTAATAGTATGTTGTTACATTTCTTTACATGGAGTTACATCAAACTTATTTACGACTAGCTGTGCCCGCGACTTCGTCCGCGTGGAATTTAATATAAAAAAATCTAAAATAAAAGTAGCCTAAGTTACTCCTTATTACATCAGCTATCTGCCAGTGAAAGTCCAGTCCAAATCAGTCCAGCCGTTTCAGAGATTAGCCGGAACAAACAGACAGACAGACAGACAAAAATTAAAAAATGTTATTTTGGTATATGTACCGTGTATACATCCATATGCATTTAGTAAAAAAGTGGTTATTTTAATATTATAAACAGACACTCCAATTTTATTTATCTGTATAGATGAAATGATACTTTATACTCATTAACGGTAATCCTAACAGCGCTTTAATTCGAAATTATATTGTTTCCTAAAAGTTTCTTTTACAAAAAACGAAAATTTAACCGGAAAAAAATCAATAAAAAGAAATAATACTCAATGATTGTCATAAAGTTAGTTAATCCTAAAATAACCCTCCCCTCACTTCTGTTCGATAAAGAACCCCTCAAAACCGACTTCACAGTTGAAACAAAAGGAAAACAACGGGAAGTGAATGTCAGCGTAATTATAATGAAATCATTCGACACTGTCCCAAAACTCGAGTTTATATGGTACACAAAAGCGCCGGGTCCGGCGAAGTGAATGACCAATCATACCTGGACGGATGTTGCCGCGTAACTAGTCGAAAACTCATCTGCGGACGCCATTACATCGTACTTGCGTCATAATACCATCGTCGCCGGTTTCTTCGTAATTCGCTCTTTGAATGCAGACGGTCGACGGTGATGCAAACCGTACGCTGTCAATATCGATTTTTCGAGCTTTTACATACCGTCAGTAACTGAATGAAGATCTTGATGAGAGAAGATGGTGACACTACCAGGAATGCAGAGATGAACGTAGGGCATAGACTTAAGTTGTTTGCCTACTTAAGTCTATGGCCTACGTTCACCTCACCTTACCAGATAAAATCCATCGATAAATAAACACTTTTACTATACGTCGATCTTCTGTATGTTCGGGCCGACATGATTTGGTGATTAGTATATCGTCTAATACAAATTACACTTGAAGTGTTTTCAAGTAGAAAAAACTTAACTAACTTTTTATTTTTAACATTTACGGGAATACTTCACATTTTTAAATGACAGTTTAGGTTTTATTTCATATGAATTCAAAGGAATGCGATATATATTAATAAACCTATAATAGTCCCGATTAAATTTTAAATAATATTGTTAGCTATGCCAGTAAAGAACAACCGCTTGATAACATTGATATTTTTAAAGTTATGTTATAAATTTTTAATATATCTGAGTACTGTAAATATTTATTTCGATTGCAAAAACATGGCCAAATGCCACTGCACCGGTAATTTATTGTGCGTTTTGTACTTAAGTACTGCGCTAAAGAATTGTGTAATGCCTGCAAACACCGCAAAAACGCATTAAAACTAATTTCTCGGCAGTTGTGCGCCCAGATGCGACTTGAAATTATAGGAATTTTCACAAAAAAAAATTGGTTTACAATGTAGTTTTGAATAACGTTAACTGTGCTTCAAGTATCTTTTTGAGGAGGGTGGTAAATATAAATTTTATGTATAACGTTAAAACTTAAGCTCCATAAACATAGGTAGTTATTTTGAAGCCTTTAATACAAATATGATTTTCACAGAAACATACGAAAGCGGAATAATACTGGTTTGAATCAATAAGATTCGACCCGTGGAGCTCTGATTATCGCGCGATTTACATGGTAATTTTTAGCACCTGTTCAGAGTAATAAATAGCAGGTCCGTTTGATAAATGGGCGCTGTAATGAACTCGAATAGCGTTGCATTAAAACGCAATAAAGTTCTCAGTTCAATAATGGTGGATAATGAAATAATATTTCCCTTATAGATTATAAGAGAAATAATCTAGCGAAAGTGCCTATTAATCCGATTAAGTTGAAATGAACCAATACCATCACATTTATCATTTTGTAATAAAACAGATATTTCTAATGTGCTTTTAATATAATTTCCTTTCATTATTGATTAATTAGAAACCATGTGTAAGAGTTTTATTCGCGCACCATTACTGGCAGTTACCTGCAGAAACCTAGCGTTGCTGCGGCCCTACCCACAGCGGAGGGCCCAAACCCGTGGGTTCTGGCTAGCCCACCAGTTCTGCGTCAGATGAAGCTTTAATAGTCGCGGGACTGAAAGCAAAAACATCAGTTAATACAAGATACAAGAACCTAGCGTTCTTTATCAAAGTTTAGCATTTTAGAAGTTATTAAAAAATTCTTAGATGAAATAATGATTTCATTGTTAAATAAAACTAAGTAACATTAAAGCAATAACACCCATTAATAGGTTTATTCCGTAACAGAATTTTGTTGCAATCTTCTTATATATAAAAATGGATTGCTGTTCGTTTGTCTCGCTAAAACTCGAAAACGGCTGGATTGATTTGGCTAATTTTGGTTTGGAAATATTCATGGTAGGGAAAAGGGTCCTTCCAGGGAAGGTTTAAACGATGAGAAATTATGGAAAAATTGCATGGAAAATTGAAATAGCAACAATTGTATTTTCCCATACAAACTGTACCTGTCAACCTATCAACTATGTCTGTGTAACTTGTAATTCAACAAGTGAAGCATACTAGTTTCTACTAATGTTGTATTGTTTTATATGTCGTAATATATTTAAACTGAATATGAATTCTGCAGCATAATATGGCAAATAAAAATCGCACGAATTTAATTTATTTAATTGATAAACGATAGCCTTCTATGTATTTTATGCTAGCAAACGGTTATCATAGATATAGTTCCTATACAAGTTATATGTAACATAAACATGTTCACATAATCCATGATTTGATTGCTAGAACTTTCCATTTATTCTATCATTTTATTGTTATTACCGGCTATAAAGGTAAGCTCGTATACGAAATAGGCGAGAGATGTGTCAGGATGTCGCAAAATGGAAGGATTTAATTTCTAGACAACCTTCCACGTTTTAAACATGAATATACATTAATAAATAACTTCAAACCTTGTTAGATTAAAATTACTATCGCAGAATTACGGATGCCGATACAGAAATGGTGTTAGGCTATAAAAGTTAGTTGTGACTTGATTGGAGTAGTGGTATCTTACACCAGAGGATGTGGGTTCGATGTGTGATTCTACTTTGTGGTGCCAGGTTGTTTAAATATCCAGTACCAGGAATGTTTTTTTTTTTTTGGTAAATCATGTATTTTGGAAATTACATTTAGATACAAATTACTGAAATGAAATATGCATAATATTTTTCGATCTTACCAACATAATTATAATAAAATATGAACAACAATTATTCAATTTAATTTATTATTTAAAAAATAACAATTCGACAAAAAATAAAGAAAACAATGATCTGGAATCGAAAAAAAAGTAAAAAAAATAAGTGTGTAAATGATCGTGATACGAACCACGGCCGTCTGTTTTGGGGCCGCCCGATTACCGACCGAGCTATTAAATAAATAAATAAATTTAGGACACGTTCTTTTTACACAACATTCTCTAGTCCCAAACTAAGCAATGCTTGTACTATGGGTACTAGAAAAGTGATAGACTTACTCAAACATACTTTTCTTTTGTAAATAAATACACATTATACATAATATATAAACACCCAGACACTAGAAAAACACTATACAATCATCACACAATATTTTTCCAGTAGTGGGGATCGAACCCACACCCTCTGGCGCAGAAGGCAGGTACACTACCGACTACGCCATTCGGGTCGTCGAATTATAACATTTATTTTTTGCGGCGAAATTTACCGTCATATTCGAATGATATTTTTCATTCCCTGAAAACAGGGATAAAAGGACATTTTCTAAAAATGAAACCTAGCTAGATCGGTTTTTCGCCCCCGAATCTACGCGCATACTAAATTTCATGAAAATCGCTGGAGCCGTTTCCGAGATTCCGATTATATATATATATTGTAACCAATTTTATTTTGTCGGTGTCAATGTGCGGTGCGCATCGTAAAATATTTACTCTCATATTTTTAAACGCGCCAAAAGAGGTATAAATTCAAAAATTTTATTATAAAATATAAATATGATTTTCAAATAGCGCAGCAGAAATATATTCTGTCGAAATGGAGAAAATCATTATTAATTACTGTTAAATATGGATTTATAATTGAATTTATGTTTAATCATAGGGAAATTTTTGAATTTACCCTCAGGAGAAGTTGGCAACACTACCTCGCAACGCCTCCGTCGCTGCGTAAGCGTGGAAGGAGCGTGTGCCGTTGCCCCGGGCAACTGGAACGACCTCGAAGGACGGCGTATTGTACCTAGGGTTGCGCGATATCCGCATACCTCGCTTCACCGACCGCAACATAATTAATGAACAAAACGCGGCTAGCGCTGCTATGGCTCTCTGCTTTGTTATGTTTCACGGGAAAATTCACTTTGAAAATACTTCGCCAACGAATGTAGGTTTGTACCGTTTTGTAGGTATCCAATTTTGAGGTTCACGCCTCAATCGTCATGGATTTCGCGATGAAAATGGTAAGCTTAATCTGTGTGTCAATTTATGTTAATATAGCACTGTAGAAAAACCTAACATAATTTGTGACATGATACTTTAATCTTTTTTTATTAAATTACAAGAGTTCATTGCCCCACCTCAAAATTATAGTACATTTTAAAATATTTTCTTTATTTAGTATAAATAATTACTAACAGAATCTTCTTATTCACTTTGCGCTCTGACAAGCCGACATAATTATTATAATTGAATATACTGTTCAAAAATAATTATAATTGCAACAACATTAATAAAATATTCATAATAAATTCGTATATTTAATTAATAATACTTAGCTCTTTTAAAACTATATAATTTCCGTACAGTTTTACACATACTTTGACAGTGCGTTTTTCATTAGTTATCTAAGTTTGTTTAATTAATTTAAACTTAGGCTATTATCGAATCCGACCTGTATTATTTAGGTACCGAGAATTTGACCGCCGCAGGATAGGAAGGCATCATGTTTTACTAATGGGCCTAGTTCAATGACCCAATCAGGAACTTCTGGCATTCCAATAGATTACTCAATGCGTTGGACGATGAAGGTTCCTTAAAAAGTTTGGTTCTTTATTCGAATAAAATTCCGCAACGTTCTTCGACAATATCCACTTGATTTTACTTTATCTTCGTTTTCTTTCGCTGAGCACGTGATAAGTCAGCACTTAACATTAACAATTTCATTGGTACCAGCATCAGGGATCGAACTCAGGTTGCTCGATAATATTGAATTAAAAGCGAGCGCCCCGAAAGTGAGCTATCGCGCCTATCCTAACATTCCAGATGTTGCTTCCATGAAGATGATTTATTTCGATTTTATTGAGGATGTACATATCCTACAAAACATTGCTACATATACGCTATTTCTATTTGCGAATAACATTTCTACGTATCCGTAAAAAAAACTGGCCCTTCAATTTATATTTATTCATTTATTTATTTATTGCATGTTATATAATGTGATAGCCAATAGAGACTATCGAAATAGGACAAACTCGTTTCAGAACCCCTAATATTTGAAGGGAATACGAGTGGTGGGGTTTTCGCAAATAAAAAGAATCCTATTTATTTGAAGGACACTTGTATCCGTAAAATAAGGGAATGGGATGGCTTTACGGGAAAAGGTCCTTTTCTAGCTTGAGGGTAAAAAGGCAACATTCATGAACTTTCGTCTCATAACTGTACATTAGCATAAATATAAGAGAAATATTCGAATATTCGGACACTCGCCAAAATTGTATTATTATTGATGTAATCCTGTCTCAATACATAAAACGTCTGAATTTATTTTCATGCAATACTATATGAAGCTTTAAATTATAACCTCAAGTTAAATGGGATACCATTATAAAAGGTTTGATAGACCACAGATCCTTGCAAAATAACACCGATTCCTCCCAAGGATAATTCGTGAGGCTATTTAAAACCACCCAAATTTCAATACAGAAGAAGGTTGGGTGCTAACATCGGCTTGGGATCCTATTACAAATAAAATTAAATCTAGGCCCAAACGAACCACTACTGCAAGACAAGATAAAGTTAGCATGTTCTGCGTAGATCGACACAAAAATTAATAATTTAAAAACTGGCGGTAGCCCGGATTAATAATGACATTCAGACGTCCAACGCCTCACTAAAGGGTTAGAAACTTCGGGTATGAAAACCAAAATAAACGCGATAAATCCATAAACTTTAGTAATGTGTTATCGCGTAAATACAAGAAATTATTATGGGATACGTAATTGCTTGGACGTAGAAAACAATGTAACACGTAAAATACTGGAACTATAATTAGAAAACGCCAAGGATACCATAAAATTCTTACCAAGGAGTACGCATTCTGTTTGATCTTCATATCAGTAGGTACGAAGTACGCATATTAAAATATTTCAGCGGGATCCTCCAATAATGAAATGCGACGGGAGCACGTGCGGCGAATAAAGTATACGTCTAATGCACCTCATTAAGAGTCGTACAAAAATAACCAAGCACTACATTCGACGCAGACTAATGCTACCGATAAGTAGCGTCGCCGTCGCCCGCTTTGGCGGGAAAATCGCATGAATCGTAACAAGAGTGAAGTGTGTCGCGTGCGCGAACCGAGATGCTCTCCAGCCGCCAATCATTCCGTTAATTGGAGAGAATCATCGCTGTAGAAAGTCCATGGCGGGCGCCGCGCGGCGCGTCATCCGACCGCGCGGACGGACGAGAGCGCCACCGTTTTTGCGTCCGCTTCATTATGCGTACAGTTAACCGTAGACGCTTTACCTCGAAACTGAGCTATATCTTTGAGGCTTTCATTGGAAGGCGTATGCATTTGCTCTTCTGTTTAAACGAATTGCGTCCCTTCAAATATGACGCGAAATTAGTAAATAATAAACATATCGCTGCTTACATTCCTTGTGAGGAGTTTTTTTAAGCATTTTCACACATTAATGGCTCGAGTGTTGTTACTGTTCATTTTTCATGCGAAAAGTTGTCAAGCGAGCGGGAGGTCCAGCTGATTTTAAGTGGATACCGCCGCCATGGGCATCTACAGCACCTGAGGGTCTTGCAGATGCGTTGACAACCTTTAAAAAAGAGGGCCCCGGCTACCTCACTCGCCAGATGACACCCGAAAGTATAGAGGCCGTGGTACTTGCCCGGATGAGCCTGCCCATTTGTGCAACAGCAGAAGCTGTTGCGTGGTCCGGCCCTATCAAGTGATATTCATACAGTTTTTAACCGACTTCAAAAAAGGAGAAGGTTTCTCAATTAGATTTTTATATATTTTTATTTTTTATGTGTGTTCGGGGATAACTTCGTCATTTATGAACCGATTTTAATGATTCTTTTTTTGTTAGAAAGGAGATATCCCAAGAGTGGTACCATGATAAGGAAACCCAGATTTGAAGATGGCATCCCAGAAAAATCGAGGGCAATCCTCAAATTTTATAAGTGTTGACAATGCTTTTAGTTTCCTGTTTGAAGTCGGTTTTTTTTTGTTCAAAATTATTACAGGTGTTACCGAAGTGTAAATATTAATGGCCCCCTGTGTGTTTATACTTCGTGTCCTATATGTATTTTTTTTCTGCTATTAAAATACAAAGAACCCCAAAACCCTAAAGCATCAGCAAATAATCGGAATATTATATAATACAGAGGCTACATATAAACTTTTTCTTCACGCTGCCGGCGGTAATAAAGGAAATCATTATCATCCTCCTACCCTTATCCCAGCTAGGTGGGATTGGCTGTTCATTTGAATCGTGTCGTAAATGGTTATGGCTAGGTTTTTTACGACTGACCGCCTGACGTCAACCGTCTTTAGAAACAAACACGCAGATCCGGAACAGTAATGTGTGGGTCACGGAAATTCTGGTCCCGAGTGGAAATCAAACCTACGATCCCTGGCGCCGAAAGCACTAGCTTAGGGACTGCGCCACCGAGTCATGATAAGTAGGGGAAATCAGGAATAAATGAAATAAATGAAAATATTAAACAGAGACCACTTTTTGAGGAACCACAAACAATGGGTCAACTAATTTGGTTACACAGTCTTGCGAGTGTAATAAATTACATGAATACTACAAATATTTAAATCACTTACTATTGAACACTATTCGCGCATGCAAACATTGTCTTACACGGTTTGTTTATGACAAGGTATAAATATACGCAAGAGCAAAAAGAATGTTTTGTCCTAGATCCTAAATATGGAAAAGTATGAAACCTACTTGGCATTACCTTTACATACATCGATCAATTGAACGGTAGTGCAATTAACAAACACGTATCGCGATAACGAACGTAATTACAGCTTGCACCTGTACGGCAAGAGCGGGCCGAATAAGGGGCAAAACGCATAGATGGAGATCAATAAGCTAGTTGCGTCATGCGAGATGCCATTCGTTATCGTGGAAGGCGCGTGGTAGCTGCCTCGGCAGTGCTGTGGGCGGCTAAGGCTGCTGAGTCACTGGCCCTTCCTGCACACCATTTCAGGCGTTGTTACGCGAACGAGGACGCGAGCGGCACCTCAATGCCGTGCCTTTGTCTCGCTCCAACCGATTCCCGCGTCGAATCGAAACGAGCGGATGTCAACGCTCGCCGATTGTCTATTGTTATTTCGATTGGACAGCACAGCTCTAGGGTCGGTTCTATTTGATTTAAAGCGGTTGCATGTTGCCAAATGATGTGAAGAAAACAGATGTAGGTAAACGGTGTCTGCGGTGGAGATAAAGAAAAAAAAAATAAACTGCCCACCGTAATGAGGTGGTAGGAGGTTGACAAAAATTAAGCGCGATGAAAGCGCTTTCACCGTATCATTTTGCCGACATGATACGGGGTATTTTTTGCGCTACAAATATTTTTGTTTTATAAGTACATCAAAATCGCATCGTTTAACTTTGGTTTTTGAAACCTGATACTAAAGTATAAAAAATCAAATAACATACAATGAAAATTATGTATTTTTATATCTAAGTAAACGTGTCCAAGGTAAAAAATGTATAAAAATTATTTAAAAATTATATCAAACAAACATATTTCTCAGGATAATTGATATAACATACTGAATAATTATAACTAAAGTAATTGATATACCGTACAGTGGTACGTTCTCGTAAATAGTACGTTGTTTCAAGCATTAACTTAAAGAGTCACTTAGAAATCAGGCATCAGGCATAATTAATACTTAAATATTGTCGATCATTTCTGTTTGTTTGGCATTTAAAATTACACTAATGTGACTGTAAAATTGATTTTATACCTTAACGTACCTTATTATACTTATAAATCATCTCATTTATTATCTATGTCATCTTATTGAACTGAGATTCATGTGTGTAATATTTTTCAATAATCTTATAAGACATGTAGGTTATGAGATGACACGTATTATATTAATATTACCGAGACCGTCATATTGTGTTTGCACCTCAATTTGTCAACATCGCGACGCATCATTATTTCTGTCAGCCAGATAACAACAAATAAAACGTGTGGACAGTTGAAAATTTCCCAGAGTAATTTCAACATTGCTCGCACGAAATACTTTATTACTCCTCTGTATTATGTAAAAATGACCGTTGCGTTTGATTAGAATAATGTCGATTATTGCTCATATGGACGTTTTTAATTGGAAGCGTTTTATAAAGTAAGACAGGTGTCTAGATATCCTTTATTTTCCGAGGATGCTGAGCGACATTTTTCAGCCGGTTAATTGTGCAGAATGACGTTCCCGCATATAAACTCTAGTTTTTTGACGGAGCGCTACGGGCAACTTGCTGACCAACGTGCAGCTGCGTTACACTTGCATTTATTTTTGTCAGCATTTTAAGCGTACCATCATAACTTAAATAGTTTTCTCACGCTCGTTTTCCATACGCAATTTCTCTTTTAACCATAATGTATAGAGCAACATGTCTAAAATGTTATACCGAATACGTATTTGATTTTCGTGTATTATTTTTTTTGTGTATTTTTCTCAAATCGCCTATCGTGTATGTTATTGCGCTGTGTAGATAGGATTGGTTGATTATTGCAAATATCTGATAGTTCGACATGAAAGACTTAAATTTCGGTTGTTATCTTCTCGGTTGGTAAGGTTCGGTTGGTATGATTCTCAGAAAGTTACTTTTATATCGCATAATAATTTTGATGAAAGGCGGTTTTGATTAAGTGTTTATTTTTCTTAAGTCTTTTCTCATTCAATCAACCAACTTTATTGCATACATTTTGTGAAATAAATGTGAGCTAAATAAATTATTTACTTGGTCAATTGAAAGTAAAAATAATGATAATAATCATCTTTTTTATTTTTGGAAAATTTTTAATACGATAATGTGGTAACTCGGAAGTAGGTATGTGCTTTTACAAACTATGCTACGGACATGAATAAGAACTATCTACTATACAAGTATATTAAAATAAAGTGATACGACATTATTCAGTTGATACCCACAATGCAATCAATTTCAATTACCTGCTAACAGAAATATCACTGAACCTTGAAACTTATTGCTGCGTAAGCCAAGTGTGACCTTACGCTTAAAGCGTTTATAAACTAAAAGGTCGCAGAGTTTGATAACAAGTGTTTCGGTATTCACAGTAATAAATAACTACGATAAACACTATTTCCTTTAAAGCTTACATTTTCATAAGTGAGACATCATCAGCTTTACACGATTGTTGACAATACAATAGAATGAATAAAAGGAGCTATAGAACTAAAGATTCTCAGTCGGTAGAATTCACAGTAGTAGTCATTGAACGTGAATCCAAAGGCTGCACATTCTCATTCTTTATTGGAACTCTACCACTATAACCAGTGAAAGTAAAACTTTATTTTGTACTTCGACAAGGCCTCATATTGAGACTTACCGATTCTTTTCTTAATTATATTAAGAAGTTTTGAATATACCTGATCATTTCTTTAACTCGCACAAAATGTATTATGTACATACATAAAAATCAACCTATACCTGTATTTATTTTCCAAAATAAAACATGTGACTTTCCCTTGTAGCTCTAAAGTACAGAAATTTTTAACTCGCAAATTTTAAGTCTCAACCTAGAACTTTAACTTTAAGGGCAATTCTCTTAGGCTTCTTATGATTCATATAATAATTGTATTATATTTACAACAACCGTTCACCGACAATATGACAAAGATAATATAGATTCATTGGAATATAATATTATATTTCTTTTCTAGGTGGTCAATAACATTCTGCGTTAACTTAAGATACATCTTCAAAGAAGCCTTCAGCTTAAAAAGTTTAAGTCGTTAAGCAATAAACTGAAGTGGGTAGCCCACCCACTTCAGTTTATTTGATAGCCTTCTTGTTCAATAATGACTTATGTATACCCTCATAGATTAGTATAGCTGTCTAGCAAAAACCGTGGGCACGAGCCAACATCATATCGTTGAGAACCAAATTACTCTATCCTAGTAATAATTTTTTTTTTTTTAATTATTACCTGCCTTTTCATTAATGTAAAATTGAACTAAAATGTTCGCGGAAATAAAAGATACTATCAGTTGCTGCTTACGTTGAATTTATTATAAAGTATTCCCTGCAGTTGTAGTAATGGGCACACTTAATGCTGACCTGCAAGTTTACCAATTAATCTCCAACCGTTCCTTCGCTGAGCAAATAGAGCTTCTAAGAAACATTCAATGTAAGAACCCACGTGGTATAATGTTAAAAGTTGACCCAGTATGAAGTACCGGCACCATCCAGGCTCCTAGTTTAGTTTATCTCCACGTTGAGTACCATATTTAATGTTCAGTCTTATAATTGCAGATTTATTGCAATACCGCGTGGTATTCCAATAAATCTGCATACGAAAGTTGGAGGCAGGCTTATTACCGAATAATAATAAATTAACAAACCGCATATTAGATAAAACGAACAAACACTAAATACATAGAGTTACGCTAAAGTGTTAATATATTTAGTATACCTATTGCAATGATTCATTTGATAATTCTTCGCCAGTTACGCGTTCTGATTCGCCGTATTGGTGCGAATTAAAGCATCTCTGGCCGCTGGCAGAGTGGCCCAGTTAAATGCCAGACAAAATTATATTCTCGTCTTTAGACTCTGTAACTAAAACACGTGAAATGTTGCGACAACTGCAATTATGCCACGCTGTAGTTACGCTACAGCGCCGTTCCATTATGACTATATTTTTTTTATTAATCAATTTTTCGTTATTTAAAATATAAAGAGAAATTTTTATTATTTACTTTTAGCATGCATGGTCTGAAGTACTTACTTACATAAAGCAAATCTGACATCTAATTTGTTGGCCGTAATGTTTCAAAATATGTATATCTATCAAAGTACTGGAAAACCCCAACAATACAAGTACGAAACTTTATGCTCAATGAATTTTTCCCACGTTTTATTGAGCAAAAATAATGCGATCACAAAAAAGACGCATGACTTCTTCGTAATAAATATGAAATATTTTGATGGCGCGTATGCAATAAAATCACGAAGACGTATAAAGGTGTTAACTAATTTAAAAGGAAACCATGTTATGCAAAGTGATCGTAGCAATTACGAGAGCGGGCGACTCTTCCACGGCCTAGTTACAGACTAGATTTAATAAAAATATAACAATTAAAACTCTCGGAGTCATTGGCTAGAACTGAACAACTTATGCTCGTTTACAATACACAGACACCGTTATAAAAGTCATCCGCACTCTATTTATTTTTATAAAAGTAACAGTTTTCAAATACAACGTTCAAATCGTAATGAATGGTAGATTTACTTCGAAAAACTGAAACGACAAACGAAGACGCCATAAGCGAAATATTACGAATCCTATTAATCTAAACCGCGAAAGATAAAAAATGAAACTTCTCGTAGAAATATTTGGAAGAAACGATGAAAGTATTGCCGTATTATCTACTGAAACTCTCGCGATAAAATCAGATCTAATCTTTAATCACATTGCGATGCACTGAGTAACACCAGGCACCAACGCAAGTGGTGGGACTTATCGCTGGCATTAGGTCAGCGGGAAAACGTGATATGACCGAGGTACGTGCGTTCGAATGGATTAGAAAATAATATCGGATAAAACCGCTCACCAAACGCACGTTTTGACGCGAACCAGTCATATTTTAATACGATAATGCTTAACGACCTTGTACAGGTAAGGCACAAAATTGCTTTCATGCTTCTAAGCTACCAATTACGTCTAATTAGAATGTAAATTGTTTGTTACAGTTTATTCACTAAAAACGGACCTTGGCTACAGTCTTTTTTTATGTGAGAAGGCGGCAAGCGAGCTTATGGTCACCTGATGTTACGTGATAGCCACCGCCCATGGACATTTGCACCCGTAGGATGCAGATGCGTTGCCACCTTGTGGGCCTCGGCTGCCTCACTCACCAAACGAAACTTAGAAGTATAACACTTCTACTTTACACCGGTCTTCTGTGAGGTCGTGGTGCTGACCAGGATGAACCTGCCCATTCGTTCAATACCGAAGAATGTAGCGTGGCCGTACTGTACTATAAAAGTTTTATTTTTCAATAAAGAGATAGTGTTAGTTCATCACCAATAATAAATGCTTGTTATGGAATCTTAATACCTCATATTATATTGACAATTGTCAATGTTATTTTTTTCGTAAGTTTCATTTAATAGTCACATGCCTTTATCTTCTACTAGTCATATTTTAATAACATTATTAATTTATTCATATTATATTATGTCAAGGTAAACATGTGCTTTTCATGACTCCGTAGTGCAGTTGCCAAGTATTTGGCTTCGGCGTCGAAGATTTTGGGCTCGATTCCTACACGGGACACCTATTTGTGACCCACAGAAATTCCAAAAATATTGCAAGTTATCTTACTTAAGGAAGGTCATTTTCCCTAAGTAAGATAAGTTAATTATTTTAAATAAAGTATAAAAATACAAATCTTTTATGAAGAAAAAACGAAACCAAAAGCATAACAAATGACACATCGGTATTTGGATATTTGCTATCTATTGATCAGGCAACTTCAACTATGTCATGAAGTATTGAGATATGATTATTATCATATTCGTCAATAGAAAGGCAAAAATGTTTGGCGTTTAAGTTATTTTGCCTTTCCATTGGCGAATTATAGTTTTTATTTTAGTACGGGAAATTTATCGTGACTTAAATTTAGTTTTCCTGTGCAGAACTGATGCAAACAAGTTGGAAAATTGGAAGTTTCACCACAGTTTTATTATTATGGCGGGATATTCATTTGTTTTCTCGTCTGGTTGGGTGTATAAATAGAAATTATTATTTTATTATTTTTATTTTTATTGTATTTTTATTTATATATTTATTTATTTTATATATTATTTTCAGCCGACAGTGATATTGCACGGAAACATTTACATTCTACAAAACATATATACTTAGGTTTCTTTTTCACCGAAGCTTCTAAATTACCGGAAGCGTACGCGGAATGGGGATTCCTTCCCGTTTTATGTAAGCATTGAAACGGCGAATGCCAAATGCCTCGGAAGCGTAAAAAACTCAAAGAAGCCAAGTCTGGATGGCGCGGATGCGCTTTATTGCGCTTTATTGACATGCCGGTTTGCGCGTGTGTTTTGTTAATTTATTTTATTTTACGATTAATCATAAGGTTAACTTAGAAAGACAAAACAAAAAAAACTTGATTGGCATAGTGGATAGAGAATCTGTCTGTTGCGACAGAGGGTGTAGGTTCGATTGTCACTGTAAAAATATTGTGGTGAATATAATGTTATTCTATTTTCCGGGTGCGTATATGTCAAGCACGAAAGGGTTCCGTACCATTATCTATAAAAACGGCAAAAAATCATGTCTGTTGTGTAGGAGCCCCACTTAAATATTTTTTAAATATATTCTGTTTTTTAATATTTTCTGTTAAAGAGACAACAGAAATACATCATCTGTGAAAATTTCAACTGTGTAACTATCACGGTCCATGAGATACAGCCTGGCGAGAGGACAGAAAGATAGACTGACAGACTGCGACATTTTAGTAATAGGGTCCCGTTTTACCCTTTAGGTACGGAACCCCTAAAAAGGAAAGTATAAGGACGACCATTGTTGGAAGGGTAAAATTCTTTGAATTGACCGCAATGGAACAGTTTAAATAAACAATTATAAGCTGCTAAGTGCGTTCACATCAAAACAAACTGCTGCAGTGCACTTTTATAAACAGCTCTACCTGCTTTTACTTTTTTTTGTTTGGCTTAGATTGACTGCATATTGTCTATCCTATTCATATTATTTTCTGGACCGCCTTACAAAACGAAAACGAGAAAAAGTTTCTACTTTAATTAAGCGGCCCACAAAACTGTCTAAGGATAACGGATTATTACTTAATTCCTGAATCATATAATCCCTTGTATGAGTAGTACGAAAACATGTTTGTCATTCATTAAACAGAAATCAGTAGGTGGCTGTTGCTGTAATAATAATGTACGGAATTAGTCAGAAATACAAATATGGCGCCCAGATATCCGGCATAAGATGTATTCGTTCGGCATCCTGTAGGCAGAACAAATGTAGGATGTCCGGTTTTGTATGGTATTCATATTTACGCTTAACGGTTGTCCACAGTTTTGTTTTGGTACCATAAGGTCTATATTATTTTAATATCCCACATTCCTTCCATACAATATTTTATATAAAGTTTTGCGATAGGAACTAAACGAAAAACACTGTAATGCTATAAATACTAAACTTTCGCGTATATTTTTCGCGACCTCTTTACAGAATGATACTTTTATTTAGTAAAAATAAAAGGGAAATGAAAATAAATTTTAGAATGTAGCACAAAAAGAAATTTGCAAAAATAACTATAAAATATTTAAAGAGAAATATTTCATTTCATTTAATTTTCAACTATTTATAGTTTGGAATCGTGTAAATTCGCTAATTAAGAGGAACGTACAATAAAATCAGATAATAAATGAATTACATTTAACTTACAATATGATTTAATTTAATTATTTAACGTTTGCTCATTCAATATTTATTACATTACAAAGTTCCCACGTCGCAATTATTATTGAATCTTTCCTCGTGATCAATAGCGCTGTAAATGTTAATAGACATTAACAAAGAACTTTGAGGACTATAATGCAATGGAAACAACTAATGCTTATTGCAAATTTGGTAGACAATAGATTTCGAATTAGCTCCTCTCTCCTGGAAAGTCTTGTCATCCTGGCATTATAAAAGCAAATTATTTTCAAAAAACACAGTAAGAAAACTTCGTCTAAACACCCAGAGAGCATCTGTGACCTTTAATTGCTTCCAAGCACAAATTTGCTTTAATGTAACAAAGTTCGTTTTCTTTCTATCAGCCACGATGTCTTTGATCAGAGATTTTAAAGCGTGGCATTACTTATAGCTTATAGTGTAGGTACTTTATAAAAGTGAAAAGTTGTACTTTTTGAATAAGCTATAAATATTTAATCATTCTCGGCGTTTGGCTCAAACTCAAAATATTATGAGTAACCTTATTTACAAAAATAAAAGCAAGAAGCGTTGATATACCACAATTTAATCCTTGATGAATCCGATATAATTCCTTAACATTCCCATAATATACTTCGACTGTAGAATCTCTTCGATATGTTCAAACAATTACATTTCAACCCTGCAACTGCGATAAAAAATGTTCAGCGTCGGTCGGCTGGCCTTTTCGAGCTTATTTGAAACCTAACTACAGCGGCGCAAAGCTACCAGCGATCTGCACAGTCGGCAGTCGCATTATTCGAGATTAATACGTGCGAGCATAACGATGGTGGACTAATGAATGGATCCACTTCCACTTGCGGCGAATCTTATCTTTGTAGTACGCCGGTTCGGCTGGCGGCCGCGCTCGCTGGCTGCCCGGAGACTAGGAGCTCAGTAGTCTGTGAGCTCAGTCTCGTCTCGCCGCGCGCACCGTGCGTAGCGCTCTCCCGCAGTGCGCTTATCACAACCGCCCCGTGGCGGCATCGATCCGCACGCCCCCCGTGATAACGCGATCGCCCGCGTGACTCCAGTGCCCTCAGTGTTGTGGCTTGGTGGTGGTTCTGTTTTCGTTTGATCCTCTCCCCGCGTTCGTTGGAAACTCCCGTTCGCCGCCTGGAAGTGAGTACGTTCGCGTTTTGAATCGCCCGTCGTTTTTTTACATCTCAGTTCATCGGATAGTTATACCAGATCGTGTTTGAGGAATTTGTTTTTGTTTTTTATTTATTTGATAGACAATCGAAAATTTTGTAATTAGAATTTTCAAGTAGCTTGTTAATTATGTATGAACAGTTTAAGTAAAAAGCTCAAAGTTTACGTGAATAATAAACTGTAAACATTTGCTCGGTAAAAAACGATATAGACAGGCACTCCGTATTTGTGAACACGAAAGACATATCCAGTGGTAAAAGCGTCGAAAACAGGCGTATTTTAACACTCGAACTCGACGCATAAAAGAGTTGCCGAGAGGGTACAGCTGCTATAAATGAAACAAACCAAGCTTTATTTCAGTAAAAGGGCAATTTGCTTTGCCGAGTGCAGCATATCACGTATGTGTTTTGTTGGAATGCTTAATGCTGCAGCCTCATAGACGAAATGGATTGTAAACAGTGTGTTTGAAAGCTGCTGTATAATAGAATAAACAAAGATTTTGCTCGTTTTCTGTTATTCCGTACTATAGCTATATCTTTCCTCGTCTTTGTATTTGTGTATGAATTTAATTAAAAGGGACTTTTGCCTTTTAACGCGTTCTTATGCATTCATATCTGGCTTCCTGGTCATCAATCGTTATCCCAGAAGCAGTGTGGGGTCAAGCGGACACATATATACAATTCTAAAAAAAATCCAATACATCCGTTAATGACTGGCACTTTTACATCGGAATCTCTAACGATTGCCCACCGCTATTAGATTTATAATAAACGTAGGTTCGTCCACGTTCTCTGTGATTATCTTACTGGGAACTCGACGCATTTCCTACTCATGCAGGCTTTTTATTCGAAAATAGCTTACGTGGTGTTAATGACGCCTGTGATGCCGTTAATGGTACTACTGAATGTGATGTTATGCAGTGGTAACAAAAGTGCCAGCGAGCGAGTAATTTTATTACATGCAACAATTTACTTTATCATGTAACATATAAATATAAGTATAGAGAAGGTTTAGGTTTCTATTAGATAAATTTTTCTATAACAATTTTTCATTTCTAATTTCTAGTTTTGTGGCCTTATCGTTCACGCAATTTTGCCATCTTATTGTATATTTACAGATTCATACTTCCTTACTAATAATATAAAAGCGAAAGTTTGTATGTATGGATGGATGTTTGTTACTCTTTCACGCAAATACTACTGAATGTATTTTAATGAAACTTTACAATAATATAGCCTATACATCAGAATAAGACATAGGCTATAATTTATAAACATATTTTATGTATATCTGTATTTCTCTCTGAATGTGACGCCTTCAGCCTATTCTTAGCAGACGTAGTCGCGGGCACAAGCTAGTATATAAGAAGTCTATTATAAATTTAGGCGTACATTAATATGTACATTTATACCGAACTCGAATATATTTATTAGTTTGGTTTAAAATTTTGATGAAGGAGAACAAATGTTTCGAAACTCTGCTTATATGAAAGATAATGAAAAAGGTTTGTTGTGTGGTCTATGTGTGTGTATGTGTGGTCTAATTTTTGCCCTAAAATGAAACATATGCTTATAAGCCTATGCTATCCTAATTGTATAGTATAGCAAGTACTTAATTTTATTATTTTGATAGTAATATAGTAAGTAAATGATGTCAGCGTTTTACAGTACAAAACCATTTGAAACTGTTAACTTTAATGCAACAAGTTTCTAAAAAACTTGTTACCTAAATTAAAAAGGAAACGCTCTGTCCGAAATGTATTTATGTTAAACTAGCAAAAACTTCATTTTTATAGAAACTGTTTTTTACGAGTACAGCTTTTTGTACAATTGTGTTTAGCCACTTTAAGTCCTCCGTTCGATAAACTCTTAACTAAATTCATACCTGTTACTGGGGCGCAGTGCTTCGTTTCCAAAAAGTTTAAGTAAGAATTGAATACTTTATAAAATAAAAGCAATTATAAAATTCGCAAGTCTTCATCATCTTTTGTACCATCCGTGAATAAAAATGTTGAATGAATTAAAGCTTTAGACAATTGCCTAATAATGTCAAGAAAAGTATGCCATGTAAAAGAAGAAAAGAAAGTGCAGAGAAGAAGAAAAGCACTTTCAAATATTACCCTTTAATTAATTGTCCTAATAATTGTAATCTCTGCACTTAAACGTCTGCACATAATGTCAAATATTAAGATTTGCAATGGCTTAACACACTGGAACGTCCATACCAAACCAGGTGATAGTTTCAACAGGCAACACGTGTAAGCGGATATGTGGAAAAAACATTGTCTCGTCGGGACGTCAGCGAACAGAACTCATTGACAGCAGCAGAAGCAATATTACGCTCGTAGATGTTAACTAATCACCTGTCAAATAGATTTTCAAATGTTATTTGAGTTGCCAAAAGGATGGCTAAACTCGTTGAATTGATCATTCTGATCAATTCTAGAGCTTACACTACTTTTAGCAACTTAAATAACATTTGAAAAGCCATTTGACAGCTGATTAGTTAACTTCTACGATGATCAGTGTTTCAGAAACCAGACGTTAGTTTTCGATTTATGTATCTGTTCGATTCATTATGGACGGTGTGCGCGCATGCAAGCTGGACGTCCTTCATTTAGAATAAAATTAATACATTTACTTTTAATTTATTTACGGTGCTCGTGTTAAAATATCACTTTACAATTATATTATAACGAATGAGGTTACTGTTGTACCTTAGTCAAACTAAATAAACCTAAAATGTTCATTGTTACCAAAAATTTCGAACAGTTTCGACACGATGACATATATAGATATTGTTTTCTTTTCGGGTAGCTAAGCAAAGACATAACTTTGAGTTTGACAATTGTTTTTTTAAATATTTTGTAATTAAAATTCTCTATAAAACTAGTTAAAGAACAAGATGCACGTGGTCTTACACTATTCGTAATGTCTACACTTTTACTCGACAATTCAACACAAGGACAATACACATTACTACAAAAGAAGATTTTTAAAGGAACTTTCTCAGTCATGAACTTGGAAATCCTGTAGTTGAAAATTGTTATGTAATGACAAATATGAAACAATTATTCACAGTTACAAACCCGTAAAACTATGCAGAATAAAAAGATATGTGAGGAACTCATCAAAGCACCACTCCTCTAAAATAAACTTTTTTCATTAGCACATATTTCTTATATATTCTACACCGTTAGTTAATATTAATATGTTCTTGATAATCAACTTACGATTTTCTATTAAATTTTATCATAATGTTAATGGTGTTTTTGTAGAGTTAGTTTTGCAAGCAAGTGCAATCTAATTTAAAACTGTACAGAACCCGTTACAGCATGTTAAAAAGCTATAAAAAGACTGCATCGCTTGTGGTTTGACCTGTCCCTTATCGATAATCGCTATTTGATTAAACCATACGATAATATTTAAATCGGTCTGACAACTTATTTATTCGGCTACTTCACGTTCGTGCCCTGGGAGGGAGGGAATTTGCATTATTAACCATTGTCCTTGCCCCATCCTGTTTTCGTAAAACGTAGTGCCTGTTGGCTTTTATAATTAAGAACTAAGATTTTGATGCAGCGATGAGAACAATAATTAACTTCGTCATCAATTTTATCGAAAAGTGTAGAAAGGTCGTATGTTACAGACTCACGATGGCTCTACAGCTTTCAAAATATTTGCCAAAAATCTGCAACATTTTGCATGTTTTATGATGTCTAATAAATCTAATAGAGCTGAATGAAATTGTATTTTAATATAAACTATTTCCATTAATAAACAAATGTAATTTCAGCAAATGATTACACACCTCATAAAGATACTATGTACTACAGAAAACAGTTCTAACTATATTTTAAAATATACATAGTTTTCTTTTGAGTTTATAAATGATTACAATAAGTAAACATCACATTATTACATTTATGAACAACTTTATTTATTGTGAAAAGTTCGCTTTTCAAATGGCCCATTCTCTTGTACACCAAAATTTAAATTTTAATAAAGTTTAAAATTTAAGCGGTTTTTATATTTTAAAATTATACAATTTCCGTACATTTAAATAATTTACATATAAATTACCATTACAAACCTAAGTATTAATTTAAAAAAATCAAAAAAAACTTTCAGATCCATTAGAAAATAAATCTGATAAATATCTGATCCAATATAAATAAAATTATATAACCTGGTGAAAGAAGATTATATTAATTCCGCTCAACGTTGAGCCGAGTTGCATAACTGAACGAACTTGTTTCTAAAATTATCTCTAACATTTATCTAATATTTAATTAACCGTGTCGATCAATAAAGTTTGCGATGCAACGTAAAAATGTCGGTCTATTAAGGAGATCCTTTCGGCTAGATAAAATCTCAAATGGTTTAATTGTTGAAAAAACGGCCAAGAGCAACTTAAGCGGTTTTTTTTTAAATGCGTAATTAAGATGATTATTTAAAAAAAATCGTAAAAGTGTTAGGTCCATTTTGACCCGATTTATATTTGTTAATACTTACAAATAAATGATACTGATCGAAGCGTGAGTGGTTTTGCTTAAACGGTTTCCGCAACATCTGTGACCAATTCGGCCATCATTAACGATGTGTAACCGTGGTTGTATGGAACGCTTCATTCGCCTTCAGATCTTGGAGGCCGCCAAAAGACTGTTAGGGTCATGATCTAATAAAATATAAATGCGCGTTTTATTCGGCAACAATAGAATTTTTCAATACTAAAATCTATGTTTAGCTCACGTGGGAAGCTTCTGAATATTTTTTTGAATAGAAATCAAGACGTTATATATAAAACCTCGTTTGGTCGAGTAAAATAAGTTCATACACGAAGATAAGAGGAATAATGCTTCATCTAAACTACATATTCCACGAGGTTGTTTTGATAATTATTTTTTAATATGCATAGGTAAGGCTCTTTAACAATGATTTCAGTGAGGAATTTAAAAAATCTTTGTAATATTCCAACAATCGTTTAATAACTACAAATAAATACACACTGATGTCAGAAAAGAAAAGGTTATTTACATAAAATGATGAACATCACATTTGTTATCGGTAATATAGTATTCGTGTGAACTTTAATTAAATTGCTTGTAGCCAAATTGATAACGTTGAGCTCGGCGCGTAAGGCCGGAAGCGAACTGGTTCTTGAACAGTGGATACAAAAGCGTTAATTGCCATTACAATTTTACTACAAGATGCTCGCGAACGCCCTGTCGCCGGTGAGAGAACGCTTTTTATTAACCTATTACGCGTATTGGGTAACGCGGCGACTTTCACTGGACACAACTTGTTATTACAAACGAATTATCACGCAATCCTTTTAGGTAACTGAATACCTACCTACACATGTTTAATGAACAATCATCAAGTTACGGTACCCTAGGCTCAATGAAATGTGACGAATGTGCTCCATTCGCTGAGAAGTTTGACAGTATCGGACACATACATATATGACATTAAATATTCGCAAATATGATCTGATTTTTATCCAAAATTTACAATTCAACGTTACCAGTATTTAGTCATTCGACTATAAAAGGCATTAAAAGTATATCCCGAAAATAAACACTGGTAATTAAAAATACGTTCTCCAGCCCGACGGGGATTATGGTCATCGGAATCACAATCTGAATTTTATTTTGAAATATAATCTGCTTTTTACTATTATCTGCATTCTCAAAGTTATTCATTAAACAGCTGTAATTAACGCAGAAAATAATTAGGCTTAAGAACAGTAATTCCTTTACGAAACTAACAATAAACTTTCTTTAATGTACACTAAGTGTTTATGGTGTATGATTCCACATCAGTTTTAATAC